CCTCCAACAAACTGAGTGGCAATTCGCAACTCGTGCTCATTCAGTTCAATTTTCTCACTCATACCTAGTTCTTGGAAAAGTTGCGCAACCTGCAAAGAGTCGCTTAACATTTTGAATATTTGATGAGCAACTGGAAACACTAGTCTACATCCATAGAGCTCCTCTTCTATCCTACCTACTAAAGGACTCATTATAGTAACAAAAACATTGCCAGACAGAGAATACGGGGTGACCTAGGAGAAACTCACCCGTTTTTTGTTCTCTTCGCGAGAGGCGTACTGTGGGTCAAGAAATTTTACCATGTAGCGGACGGTGAAAAACGACAAAGCAGCGGCGGCAGCAAGTCGAATGCATAATGAAATGACTTCTGCTCGGTCTGACATGAAACTGAAATCCGTTTTATTAGAAAGTTGCGAATGTGAGTAGCAACTGTCTACCTCATATAATACAGTATTCAGGAACCATAACTCAGTGATTTCCTACTTTCCCTACGATTTAGAAGAGGGGCATAGAGTCACATCACTAGAAAACTGATTCTACCAACTTCCTTCACTTTCGAGCGCACGCGGTTTCTAGCTCAAAACCAGCCCTGTTGTAGCAAAGCAAGCCGGAGTCAGTGAAATACCAGATCTAACTGGTAAAAGATATCAGTCAGCAGAACGATGATTCAACAACCAAGATTCTCATCCTATATTCCAGAGTTAGTCTGACAGAAAACTACAAATTCGTTCTCGTTCTGCATATGCAACTATTCCTACGACTAAGGTTACAGCAAAGCGTCTAATATTACTGCAGGTTTTCGGGCAAAGCAAGGATTTGCAATCGTGTAGGCTAAAAAATTCGCTTTCTGGGGTACCAAGGGACCCACAATCCATGCAAACATTCTCAAGTAAAGAGACTGGCGAACGTGAACGTGGTAATATGGTATAGCAAACATGGATGACAACATGTTTTGGAAAAACCCGTCTCGGAACTGACTCTGACGAAGACGATGTTCATGAAGAACGGACTGGTTTCTAATGACCCACTCTCATTCAACGAAGTGAAATCTCCGAGGCAGCGTTCATACGTTGCGCCCACGTTTTTATCGTAGGATAGCGTTTTGAGCGACTAGGAAAGTGTAGGTATCGACCATGCGTACGCCAGCATATGCCAGCGTACTGTAGCGTTTCGATCGCTTCGCGAGTAATTCTGAGCTTTTCACGTGCAGTCGCAAAAGCCCTGCCGTGCGCTGGCATACGCTAGATCGATACCTATACATTCCTAGTCGCTGACGTACGCTCGAAACGCCCAATACGTTGCCGCACCCTCAAGACACCGATGCAAAGTATAAACGCACTTTGAGTGCTTGGCTATGTGAACGTCGGTCGGGAAATCAATGATGATGAATGACTTAGTATCAGAGCTGAGCAGGAGGAAGCGAGCGGCTTGGGGAGCCTTCAAGAACATCGAGGGAGTAGCGAAGAAGACGAAGAACATTCTGTGCCCATCTATAATTCCGCGGTGCTTCCCCATGCCAAGGACCAGGTGTTGGTAAAACAGCTGCAGTTTTAAGTTCGGTGTACGTCTCAATGTCAGTGAGGGCCTTGAAGTATCTAGTGCAGAACGAGTAAACCAGATGCAGTGAAGCAGCGAAAATGCAAAATGCCCCTCCCCTTCGCCGAACTGTGCACTCCCCTACTTCGAAGTGAGAGAACATAAACATTTCAACCGACCCTATCAGACCAATACTGAATCGGAACACAAAAAGGAACCCTCCAACTTTAGGCGTAGTCATCATTTTACTTCAGTCTCTTAATCTTGTTCGGTGTGAGATAAGATACATCTAAACGAAACTACCATTCACTGGGTCAATGTCTAGCAACGGAGGGACAAATAACTCGTAGTTTACTGAACTAGAAGTGATAGTTACTGGATACCAAGTCATGAATCACCGTCACCTTCTGTAGGTTTCCGTGTCTATGGAAACGAAATGGGCCTTTGGGTTATTTTCGAAGTTTTCGTTCAAACCACGTCCTCAACACTCTACAATCTTCCCGATTAAGTGTCTGGTTACCTACACAGCTATGACCTCATACCATACTTCTCTCAACACAACCTGTATTGCCCCAATATGCGGCGCTTGCACACAAGGGGTGAACTCTGAGATGAACTCGAAATTCCGATGAAACAGACGCGAAAGCATCCACTACTTCAGGTCCAATTTGAAGAGAATTTAAACGTAGCTGACTCGCAACTTTTACCGCCCAACTTTCTCACAAAGAAATCAGTCTAGCGTTAACCTCTACCTCATGTTCACCACTGAACTATGAAAGGCCCAAAATTGGGGCTTCCCCACGTTTTACCAATAACAGGATTTCCTACGAAGTAGAGCCTTAACCAATAAGAAACAATGCACTCTCCTCCAAAAGTGGAACTAGATTCACTCATGGAATGTCACCAGCACTTATAAACTTTTTACCGTCTTTCAAAGATAGGTGACTCAATTCAAAGGAAGAAATTCCGCCAAAACAACATGGTAGTAAGCAGATGTACAAGTTCATTCTCTTCGTAACAAAAACAACTTTTGGAAATGCCATTATCGCAAAATCTTCTTGGAAAGAGAACATCCAATATCAACATATTTATCTGTGCGCAAAAAAAGTAACAGTAACAATCAAATTAGATGATACGCACGGACACTTGCCACACACGTATCACGTTGTCTGTGTATCCAGCATACAGCGTCTGTCCATCCTGAGACCACGCCAAAGAGACACATTGAGGAGCGGTCATCGTCTTTCCAGTAATATCAGGCTTCAACTCCTCGATTTCACGCTTGTCCTCCAAATCCCAGATCTTGATTACAGGACCAACCGCAGCACAGAGCCAGTATCTATTGGGTGAGAAGGCCATTGCGTGAATCACATCATTTCCGTTGAGGGTATACAGGTGCTTGCCCTCATTCAGATCCCAAAGCATTGCCTGTCCGTCTTTACCACCTGAGGCACACAGCGAACCATCGGGCGAGACCGTAACAGTGCTGACGTAGCCAGTGTGACCGATGTGGTTGGTCTTCAGACGGCAGTTTCCAAGGTTCCACACCTTTACGATCTTGTCCCATCCCGCAGAAACGATGACGGGATCGCGCGTTGAAGGCGAGAACCTCACAGTAGAAACCCAGTCAGTGTGGCAGTCTTCCTGAAAATAACAGGTTCACATTCAGTTTCATTTTCGTTTCAAAACCATTTTTTGAATATTCGCTTTCTTTTCCAGATTCTCGCATCGTTAATACCAAAGTGTGAGTCACAGGCTGCTTGTGTTGACTGTACAATTAAAAACATCATAGTGCCTAACGTATCGCCACTTGAATAAAGAAGCATGCAATAGGAACTGATCACAGCTGAAGATATACAAAAACCCAGAAGAGCCCAGAATTCGCGTAATGGAATCATACACGTGAAAATTGGGAGAAAAGAGATCGCTGTGCTCCTTGGAATGTGAGGAATTCGCAAAAAGATCGGATAGGCATCGATTTCGATTCAAAACCCAAGAATCCCATAACGCTTCCAATCGATACTAATGAAGACCTTTTCGCGGATTAGGTTCACCATGTGATATTGCAAGAATAATGAATGTCTCATTAGCCAAACTGGTGAATGTCACACATAGCAGCGAATTTTGACCAACAGGCAAATTTCTGTGGAAAGATAGTGACTACGCGCTATATGCCAGATGCCATGCCCTTGCTTCAGTACGTGCTCTAGCACGTGTCTGTCTCTATGACCCCCATAACTGCCTGCCTTCAAAAGAAATACCACAAAAGTGTCATTGTTTATTTAACACGTTCCGGACCGACGCCTATTTCGCGTGGCCTTCACGTGTGACCGCGACCTTTTTCGATACGAGGCTGGCGTGACACATGCGGCCACACAGGGCAAATTTCAGTCGCAATTTTTTCTTACCGATTACTTCACTCTGAAATTTTATAGCTGGGAGTTATTTCTTATTCTAAGCACGAATATGATATTTAATTTGGCGCTGGCGCCATTTGGTGGGGATTCAGCAAGTTCTTCTGGGTGCGATGCGTTTCTAGAGCATGGTGGTTTTATGAATCGCTACACTTTGAAAAATTGCTTTACAAATAAACTACCAGAGCTTTTCATGGCTGCATATGCAAGAATTCGTATCCCTACAGGGCTAAATAACAACTCAAAGAATTCGCGCAACACTCTAAACACAGGGAAATTTTATCTTCTGAAGATCGCGACACACCATGTGTGTCACGCGGTCTCGAATGTGTTAATTACTTCAACGTTTTCGTTAACTACACTGCTGGGCTACGGAACGCTCAGATCCTGGAACTATATTACACGTTTCGGCTATCTGACAGAACAATCATAAAATAGCGCGTTGGTGGGAGTGGTGAGTGGCGGCGCATGCAATAGAGGACTTGGCCTTCATGGCCATGAGAATAGGACTGTCAGAAGGGTGGGAAATTTTGTTATCGCCCGGCATTGAGTCTCGTCTTTGCTTGAATTCGTACGAGTTTCGCCGCTCCAAGTGACAAACAGATGCACATCTTCGCTGCATATGGCCGTGCTTACCGTGGTAAATCACGATTTTCATGTCTGTCTCACATAAGTTTCTGCGGTTCGAGCGTCTACATGGAGTTCGTGGGTAAAAGTGCAACCAAGAGAACTAACCAAGCACCCTTTTAGAGGCGCGAGTATTTCCCCTATTACATTCATACTTCCCATTTATGGTAACAACTACAAATGAACAAGAATTCGATATAGATAAAAACGCACTGAATCATTTCCTTAGGCAAACTGTGATAACTTACCGTGATAGTGTACTTGCACTGTGCTAATGTGTTCCACAGCTTGATGGAGCGATCACGGGAGCCAGAGACAATTTGACGGTTGTCAGCAGAGAACGCGACAGAGAGAACGTCTTTGGTGTGGGAAGAGAACTGGCGAGTAGACTGCCCACTGAAATTGACCTAATTATTGACTAAGAATGAGAAAGTTATAACACAACAAAGGCACGTTCAAGATGAACAATCAGATTTCCTGCAGTTTCTAGATTTACGTCTATCGCTACCGGACAAGTCACTCAAGATTATGAAGGATAATTCAGAAAACGTTGGGTAACCTACGGCGCCGCATTCTCTAGCTGATGAACCTCGCCGAAGCAATATAATTCTTACGCACAAGCACTGAAGACAGAGCTACTCTATAGCACCACAAAACCCGCTTCTGGCGAACAGGAATGGCCAATTCTCAGGTGTATACGAATGAAGCTGCGTTCACACTTAGTGTCAGCGTTTTGAACGATTAGGAAAGTATGGATATCGGTCGTTTTGAGCGTTTCGGCGAGTAGTTTAGAACTTTTCACGGGCAATCGCTGAAGACGCTGGCGTACTCCCAAAACGCACTAACACTACGTATGAATGTAGCCTCACTGTCCATTCCACTTGAACGCTCCAAAGCAAAAGGAAACGAACATTTCCGCATTTCCAAAGCCCTAGCAGAAATGTGAAATTCCAGTCCACGAGAATGAAGCATCAAAGTCAAAGCAACTAGTTTTGAAATAGTAAGGTCCTGTCAAAGTTCCACAAGCAAAGACTACCCATAAAAAACTGGCAAACATTGAAATCACATTGTAGCACTGGTTAAAGCGGGATCACGGTATTTGAAAGCGCGCTATGAGCAACGTTTCGATTTTGAAGCAATACTAGTCTTATCAAAATATACTCGCAAGATGATTTACAATACTGTGCAATTATCCTGGTGATCAGGAAACTCATCACGAACTTGCCCAAATCAAATGACTGGTTTCGAAGGATGGTTTCACTGTGAATTACGCTACAGCACCCGCTACTTTGACATCATAGTGCACCGATACGCCTCCGGCACACACGGTTGAACCTGACACTCCGCAGTTGCGCACGTTAAAGACAGTCCCGCGCTTCAGTAGTACATGGTCCTCTTTCCTTGTGCAGGAAGTTCAGCCCCAAGCTAGATACTATCCCACTCTCGCGACTCCACAGTGAGCGAGGAGCGAGCTACAGCCGCTCAAAGTTCTAGTTCTAACGCCTGCCCAGTTGGACCGCCCACTTGCTAGATGCCCTCTGACGGAGAGCCGCTCAGTTGTTCTTTGTTGGGACGGCGGGCATTAATCGGAACTGCATGTACTTTTTGCTGACCGCGCTCTGCCTATGAGTAATTCTGCTCTCCTTTATTACATTTTATTCATTGGGAGCACATACAGTCAACTGCAACCCATCTCGCAAGGTAAAACGCGTAAAAATCACGAGTGATGCAATTTTTGTGGTGCAAAAGCTCGACATGCACTAAAAGCTGCACACTGCACGTAACCCCAAATTCGGACGCCAAGTTTTTGAATTTTTTAAGTGTTTTTCGTTCGTGTCTTTGTTGTTTTTCATATTGTTTTCTTTGAAATGGATGTTGTCCACTACTGGGAAATGCCATAAAGCGATTGTGAGCCAGGGGTTGCCTACAGACCGCCAGGGCAAGTTGACTGTAAGGGAGCGATTTTGTGGTGTTCTTATGGCTCATGTTTTGAACAGCAATTATCCCTGACATTTTCATCGCGGTGCTGTCTTTAAAAATGACAGGCAGCGCTATTCCAATACACCATGGCATTTGAAAACGCGGCGAATGTTATCCTTTACTAACAGCGTTCAAGGAAATTTATAATCACCCATGTGGACGCAGTTTCGCAAAAAGGAATTTGCTCACACACCTACACTGTACTCCTTACAGGCCTAGGCAAAGCCTTCATCCCTTGGTTCATATCCGCTTCCTCCCCCTCCGCATTAAATTTGTTTATTTGTTTATTTGTTTACTAGCACTTACGTGCACCATCGACAGCAAAAAAAGAACATGAATTGGGAGCAACAACACTAAATGCTTCGAAATGAAAAAAATGGATGAAATTGCGTAAGAAATAACTTGAAATGTTTTCTGTGCTCTGAAGGATCTCTCGCGCAGGACTGGGATAGTACAGGACCGCACGAACTATTGCACTGGAATGTTCCACCTCACTGGAATAGGGTACAACAGGCGCTGATGTGCAAATGACTAGCTAACCTCTTATTTTTTACATCTCTAGTTGTACTCTGAGAAATGTTGAAATACGATGTAAGATGCAAGGTGGTATGGCTTTTCTCCACCACCACGTGTGCTTTCTCCAGTTAGAAGAGAAGCAAGCATATAACAGAAACAAATCGAGAACGTAATGGTTTGTTTTATCCCTAGGCATCAGTAGAACTACCGTTATTTCATCAACTACGATTTCCTGAGGCAGAGTTGGAGAAAGAGTGACGCAGGGGTGGAGATCGCGAAAACTAAGGGGATTCGTAATGGAGACTCCTTTGCAAAGCGCAAGAACACCACAAAGATATATCCGAGATGAAACTACCGAAAACTCTACCGACCGGCCAACCGGCCATGCGTTGACTTTTCAACGTTCGTGAGCCATAACATTCAGCAGCGCTAATTAAAAATCTCATC